GTTTCAGCAAAAATAAAATTTACATCAGTCCGCTCCCACGAAGCTTTCTCATATTTAAAAATAATGTTGGTTAAGATGTAGAAGAACATAAGTGATGTTATGTTTAATAATAAATATGCTCTCCTCTTTATTGATTTCGTGGTATAGGCTAATCTTGCTAAACTCTTTTAGAATAAGGGAAGCAATATAATCTAGGAGTTATATACATATAATATATGCTAACTAGGTATTAATAATATCAACCCTTCCTGAGAATTCAAATTAAAAACCCTAACATATTTAACCTTATTTCATTTAAATAATTATCTATTAATAATATAGAAAAATAGGATGATTTGTTAGATCAAGATTCCTTTGTCTTATCACATAAATTATATTTATTTTATCATTTATACATGCGTTTGCGTAATATAATCTCAAGAGGACCAAAAACAAATAATAAATATATTTTTGACCGAATTTTTTTGACAATGTAAAAACAAACAAAAAAAAGAAGTACCATGAATTATTATTTTTTAAAATAAAAATTTGGGAAAATTTATGTAAAGATAAATTTTATTATATGAATGAGTAAAAAAAATACCTTTATATATATATTCTAACGAAATTCATGGTTTAAATTTTGATCTAACATAATTTACTCTATATTTTTGATTATATAAATCAAAATTTTAATACTGAATTATGATATAAAAATGGTTGGATGATATATTTCTTGCTAAAAAAATGCTTCGTTTATTTGAAAGGGGAGAAAAATTGTATAATTATAATTAATCCACTTCCACATATATAATTTTTAGGAGAAGAGGATAATGTATTCAGACCATGGGCATTCCCTTTCATTTTTATAATTTTTTTTTATAACTCATACAAATGATTTTTAAAATAATGCAGTAAATAAATCAGAAAATTGTTTATAAATCTGTTGAGGCACAATCGTTGCTCAAGTCAGGACTATCATAAAAGTTTTAATTCTTTATTCATGGATCAAGATTTTGCTTGGGGAAGGGGGGGGGGGGGGGTGAGCATTATTAGGTGGGGGCCACCTTAAATCTTTTTGGCGGTTTTTTAGGTCCACATAATGTGGCCCTATGTCTATATTATATTATTTATTAAGATAATTTTGATTTTGGTTTTCATTTTTTTTTTACAAAAATGATTTTTTTCTAAAGATTTTCAATTATAGTAGTTATTATGAGAACAGGAAGATTTCCAAAAGGGGGGAGGGTACCAATTGCCCCTTTACCTTCTACCCGACACATATACTTGGTTGTATATAAAAATTATTTGATTTCCAGCATATTAGCTCATATATTACAAGCCGAGCAAGGATAGAAATAATTGTAAAAAACATTAATCATATGATTCTAACTGTATAATTTTATAAATTATATATGAAGCATTTATCTTAATTAAATTTGTCAATTTATAATGTAAACATGTAAGTTTGCATCAAACAACAAATATGATGCCTGGACAAATGATAACTAAGTGATTAATTAAAATTAATTTTTTTTAAAAAAATTTGTTATTATTATGAGGAAAGGGAGCATAAAATAATTCTAAGAAAAAATATATAAGAAATAATACAAAATAACAAATAATCTTTTTTTTTGAATAAACTTATTTATGTAATATAAGCAGTAGTTGACTGAATAAATTCGGAGTCATTTAGACCTAATCCAGATCTCAGCTCGACTCTTATTGCATTGTTTGGGTCGTAGTAAAAATTTCACTGGACCTGAAAATTGAAAAAACACAGAAATAGGCATAAGATTCAATATATTAAATTGAAAAACTATTTTCGACTTCCAATCAAAATTATGTGGGATCAAAATTTCGAATGATAAAAATTTGAATTGGTTTAAGCTATGGCATAAATTTTGAATTTTAATTTATTAGTGAATCAGTGGCGTAGTCAGGATATATCCATAGGGGGGGTTGTAAATTTGGATGTCCCAAACCTCGTTTTACCTGACCTTGGGCCGGGTCCCTCCCATAAATTTTTTTTATATATTCTTGATTTTTCCGTAGTTATATTTATATCATCTCCTTTGAAGTTGGGCTGAACAAGCTATATTTTGGGCTTTATTAGACTATAACCAGTATAGTAACCAGAATATATATATGGGAAAAATCATTAGTAAACAAAAACCTTATGAATTTAAAAGTGATTGATTATTATTCCAAAATTTTTTATCAATGTTTAGTACTCATTTATAACTTAATAATTAGTTTGGTAGAAGGTAGGGGGAAAAAATTGACATTTTGCTAGAATAAAAAATATTTTTTTAAAAAAATATATATCTGGCGTACGTTAATATTTAGTGCCTGACTAGTACTTTTAATTCCTCCAAAAAGAAACTGAGTTATAAACAAAATGAAAATTACAACTTCACACTTTAAGGAAGTTAATATCAAGTTTTTTGAAAAGTCTGAACCTATATTAAGACATAAATTAGGGCTTTCATTTATCAGATTTTCTAATCAACAAATCAAAACCACATATAATGAAATAAAAACCATGGTGCGCCTTATGCTGAGTCTTAAATATCGAATTTTAAATTATGATTTAAAAATTCCCGTTTCAAAATATTTTTGAATCTTATGATCGTATGATCTTTATAGATGTTGCTTGTTTTATTTTTCAATTTATTAGATATTTAACAATATAAATTTTTTTTATTAAATTAATAAATTTGTTTAACAAATATTATTAAATATATAATAAAAAAAAATTAATTAAAATTAAAAAAAAAATATATATATTTTTTTAGATTATTAGAAGGAGGGGGCTCCTACGCCACTGGTGGATATTAATGGGTAGTGTTGTTAAACAGCTCAATTTGAGCCGATTTTTAAAACGTAGCTTTGGCTTGAGATTTTGCTAATAGATGTCCAAGCCTTTGTGCCACCTATGAGCAAAATCTTCAGGCTTACGCAATATTTATCTGGTAAAAATATTGCGTTAGCCATTTTTTAAAATCGACTTATATCGAGCCCTTTATCAACACTATGGATTGGTAACATGTTTAGTTAGGAGAAACTATTCAGAAAAAATTAAAGTATGTTGCTGTTACGATAATAAGTTATAAGAAGCATTTATTTTGTTGAGGAGTAGATTAATTTAAATCTTATAGAAAACCACAATACAAATATTAATATGTTTTTTTTATAAAATTAAATTTTGCAAATTATTATAAAAAAGTTATTTTTTCAAAATTATTTTCCATTTCAAAATATAAAAAAAACTATATTAAAAAAGTACTCTCACTAAATTCACAGATTTGTAATTTAAGATAATGTTTAGTTTCGCAAAATATATTAGGGATAATGAAATTCATAAATTTTTAACCACATTTTGTATATTTTATATACACTTAAAAAATAAAATATTCATATTTTTAATTATCTATATTTTAGAATTTTTATATAAGAAATATAAATTCATTAAAATCATTTTAATATTTGAGTATTTATATAATATGTCTAATTTTATTTTAATAATAAAATGTAAATTTTTTGAAATACAAAGTTAATATACTTATATTTGGGACTTAGTTTAAATCCTATAAAACTTAATTAGTTTTTTTTTTGAAAAATATAACTATAATTTAAAATTATACATGTATTATAAAAAATGTATTGTGTATCAGGAAAGATGTAGTTCAAAAATCCCTTTATATTAGTTTCTATTTTTAAATTTTGTGCTAGGAAATAAAATTTAAGATTCAGAATAGGGCAATAAGATAATATAAGATTTTTTTTGGAGTGTTTTACAGGGATCAAATAAAATGATTCTTATACTCTACTTTCGAAATAGGTCGTATTTTTATAACTTATTTATAAATGCAAGTTAGTTTTTAAATCGAATTTTAAAGATCTCATTTTGGACCAAAGTCATCTTTGCTCAATTTTAAAATCTTATACATACTCTACTCACTCCTAATTATATAAATATTTTGTTGAGCATAATACTTTAAAAAAAAATTATATATTAATAATTGGTTAATTTTATAAGAAAAAAAAAGTTATTATTGATTTATCTCTAAATCATAAAACTTTACTTATTTTTAGATTAAATTCATGTAAAATTATATAGTTTAGTTTTGAAATATTTTTTTTAGAGGGTAATCTCCATTGTCTAATAAAATTTTATTCTCATAGTTATTAAAAATTTAAGGGTAAAGGATGTAGAAGACGACATTAAAAATAAATTTCTATAAAGAAAAGTACTTAATATATTTTATTTTAAAAGGATATTATTTATTAGACTATAGACACAAATTCAAAATGATATTTCAGATATGAAGTTCTTCATTTAGATATGATTTAAATCCTATAATGTTTTTTTTAGATATTAGGGTTTTCAAGTTTATAAATCTTTGTCTAGATCTATAATGTTTTTATTATATTATAAAAATTATATATATTATATAAAAATTCATTAAATTAATATTTATTTTAATTTAGCACGCCATTTCTCCCCAACCCCTTTTCCCAAGTCATTGATCAGTGACCAAAATTAATTTTATTCTATAATTTATCATCGTATTATTTTTTGCCTTTATAATTTATTTATTTTTTACCCAATAAAATCGGACATCCCATAAATCACTAACAGTGTAACATATTTAATTAAGATTTTATTTTTAAAATTTTTCTATAATATTATTTTACAACAATTTCTATTTAAATAATTCATAATTTTTATTTTATATAGATAAGAGTTTTATTTATTGATATAATAATTCTCAAATAATTATTATAGTTATTTTTTCTTATTATATTATATGCTTTTTTGTAAAAAAAAGTGTATTTATATTATTCGGAGATGACCATCATTTGATTTATATTAATGCGGTTCTGAAAATAAAAATTATCAATTTATTATTTCATAATAATTTATCACACGGAATCTTTAAAAAAAAAATATATATAATAATCCATTAATTCCATAAATGAATCTTAATTACATTTTAGAGTATATAATTTCTAAAATAAAAAATGAAAAATTATAAATAGAAAATTAAAATATTATATTCAGCATTTTTCTTTGTAGTCTATTTTTGTTTTATACTATACTTTACAATAAACACTAATTAAATTTAGTAGGGTGACATTTAGATTCTATGAAATTTTATTCTTCGACCATCCTATTGAGTGCAATCCTTATACAATCTTTATTGACGGTATGCCTCTCTTTATCAAAAAGCCTTAGGATAGGTATTTTATACATCATATATATATTTCATGTTGCTACTTATTATGTTGTTTCGTTAGAAATTCGATAAATTGACATGACTCAAATTAAACCGAGTCGTATTTGAGTTCTGTCATTCTTCTAAGTCTAAGGAATTCACTGATTTAGATACTATTCCAATTTTATCTAAGAATTTTATAAACGTCCCTTTTTTATCAAGTTGTTAATGTATTTTTGTAATTTCGCACAGAAATTGTGTATAACTGTTTTTATTAATGAAAATATAAACCAAAAAATTAAATATTTTTGAATATTATCTAAAGACAAAACATAATATCAAATGAGTTAGAGAAGGCCCTGGTCATCAATAACTATCTATATATAAACCTTTGAAACGTGATAAATGATTATCTTTTATATTTTTGCTTCTGATCAGTTTCCTTAAGATAAAGATCCTTTATTTTACAAGATAAGCTTAAAGGCATACCCTTCAGCGTCACTTCTAATCAGAAAGATAAAATAATTATTTAACATTAGGGTAAGCAGATCTCCTAAGACTATCACCACTTTAAAATAATTGAAAAATTATATAATTAAATAAAAAATATTGTTTTCTTATTTGAGCGTTTGCGTTTTTTGTAATGCAAAACGCATAATTTTTTTTATAAACGTTAATAAAAACGCAAGCTGGTTTCCTTTTTATTTTTCGAAATCTTTCAATTAGTTCGCACTGCACTATTATATTAATCGTTCATTCGTAGTAATGCATTGATAACCCCTTTATTTTTGAATATATAGTTGATCGCAATTCGCAACATTTCTAATTCTTAAATGATTATGAAGTTTATATTTTTATGCATGAAAATGTGACAGAAATGACTAAATTTTGTATAAAAAAAAGATAGTTTTTTTTTGTGAGATTATTTTTCTTAGCCATAATTAAAAGATTTTTTCAGGAATTTTTATTAATAAAACATAATGTAAAATTTTGAAGTTAAGTTAGTTTTCATCTTCGGTTCTCAATATTTCATCTCCGGGAGAAACCAGAAATTGCATTTATATAAAACCTCTGGAGTGAAAATAGAATACTTTTTAACGAATAGGATTATGATGTGAAAATCAATTACATTTTTTAACCGATCTTGCTCAGAGATTAATCATTTATATCATTTGGGGAATTCTGAATAATTAACCGTGTCTCTGAACTGAACCTAATATTTAAAAAAATATATATTATGGTAATATACAAAGAGATCACCAAAACCGATTAAAAAATTTAATTTATTTCGGCCTCTCGTGTTAAATTCATACATGCCAAAGGATTTCTTCTTTTATTTAAAAAAATAAATAAATAGTAATAATAATTTTGTATATGTGTTTAGTTTACACTTTATAAAATTTATATTAGTTACGTAATTAGAATAAAAAACGAATTTAACTAAAGCAAAGGATCAAAAAATTTATTTTAAACTTATTTTGCTTTCTAATTTTATTTAACTAAACAGATCTAAACCCTACAATATTAATGCATAATTATATTGTTTATGGTATGCACAAATTTTATATTATTATATTTCCCATGGTATAAAATGATTTATATTTTACTATTCACAACTCTTTTTATTTCAAAGTGCCGATTAATGTTAAAAAAAACAAAATATTTTTAATAGTTTTTATTTTCCGCATAACATTAGGATGCTATTAAAACTATTTGACCAATTATAATGAATAGATTTATTTTATTATTTACTGTATACTTGAAGAGTTTAAAAATTTTACAATATTATCGTTAATATTTATTTATATATCCAGGCCATTTCTTAAATCATATGATTCTCACGTCCATATCTACAAACAACTTTTTAGGATAATTTTTGTTAATTAACTATATAACTCTATTTATCGGACTCTTACGAGTTTGAAATCTATAATTAACCTTAATTTATATTTATTTTATATGTGTCCTATTGGGATTTAGAAGGAATTTAGAATCCCTCAAATTAAATCCTTCATTGAGGAAAATATTTTTTACATTAGAAACATCGGATTTGTTCGAAAATGTTTATAGTATGTAAAGAGTATATTCACTCTTTCAGACCGTTTTACCGTAAACATTATTGTTTCTCTTATATAAAAAATCTATATATAAAAGTTAATATAAAATAAGAGTATAATATACTTTAAAAGTTTATGGCAAAATTGTATGAAATTCAAAATGTGGATACTCGGCACTAGTGTTGTTAAACCGGCCGATTTGGGTCAATTTTAAAAAAACGGCACGATTAAGATTTTAACCAAAATAATATTATGTTAGCCTCAAGATTTGTGCAAACAGATGTCTAAACTTTCTGCCATACATGAGCGAAATCTCTCGGCTCACAAACTATTGTCTTGGCTGGACCCTTTAACAACATTACTCTGCCACATGCTGGAATCAAAACCGATTATTTTTTAAATTTAAAAATTGCGAAGAAATAAAAGAAGTAATTATAGATCCAAATAATGATCGTGTCGGAATTTTTAACATATTATAAATAGAAGCCCCTAAAACCCTTAAATCATCCATTCTCGTTGGTTAATTTATAATACTTTAAAAACTTTTATCATTTCCCGATAAATTCAATATTGGCTTATTTATAAATTTAGTGTTGTTAAACGGTTCGATTTGAGCCGATTAAACGGCTAACTCAATATTTTAGACAGAAATGTCTAAGCCTTAAGATATGGTTAATAGATGTGTTGAAACCGTTGTGCCACCTATGAGCAAAATCTTAAGGCTTGCAAAATAATTTTCCTAATAAAATATTGAGTTAGCCGTTTTTAAAAATTAGCTTAAAATAAGTCGTTTAACAACACTATTATAAATGATACCTTTTTCAGAAAAAAAAATATCTATATTCCACGTCTGAAAAAAATGGGGCGAGAGGCGTCTACGAAGCGTTTTAATAATTTTAATATGAGAGCCAGCCCGATTAGGGAGGGGAAATTTTATTTTAAACAATATCCCTTTGGACAAGTCGGGGATTTAGGAAATGGAAACGGAAGTAAATTAAAAGATTAAATTGTCTATATTAAAAAAAAAATTGTTAATAAAAAAATAATTACGAATGTTTAATTTGGTGATTCAGGGTTAAATAATGTTTACATTTCGTTCCATTTATTATTTTATCTTTATTATAGATTTTATCAACTTTTTAACACAAATTAACATTTTTTTTTACAGATAATATAAACCTATAAAAATAATTAAATTTAAATAAAATTGTATGACATAAGTCTGACTCTTACCTATTAAATTTATTCGTTGGATAAATTATTTTTTAGAGTAAAACTAATTAATTCTATAATGTTTGGACCTTCTTGTTTTACTATTATTTTGCATTGGACATTTTTAATTATTATCCTCAAGGTTATTAGTTAATATTTTCTTTGTAAACAAAATATATAACAAGTAATACAGCCTTGGATTGAACCACCTGTTATTTTGTAACCAGCCCACTCTAAAAATAACTTTTAGCCAAACTGTAGGCCCTAGTAGCAATTAGGTTAAATTACTTCAACCACACTATAGATATATCCGGGATCTCCATATAGTGGATGCAGCATGTTAAAGTAGCTCGCTACTTTATTCAGTAGCTCTAATGCGCTATTTTTTTTTAAAAATAGCGATAGCGGTAGCTCGCTACTAATTTAGGATGGCGCGCTACTGCGCTACTTTCAATTTTATATAATACATACACATAAAAATTAGTAAAATATATTTATAATTAATTCTAATTTTTTTATTTAATTTAATTTAATTTAATATTATATTTAAAAACTGAATTATAAATCTAGTTTTCAAAATAATTTTAAAATGTCGACGATAGAGATTGATATTTAAAATAATTTTGCTACAGATCATATCGACAAAGCAATTTCCATGGAAAATAATGATAATATGGAATTTCCTTTTCCTGAATCCGCAAAATATTTTAATCTCGATAAAATAAATTAACACAGGGTATAAATTTTATTGTAAGATATACCGGAAGGTTTTATCATCAAACAAGACTACCAACTTCAACGAGGAAACATTTGAAAGTAATATATCAAACAAATTAGGTTCCCATGAAATCGTTAAGAACAAAAATAATTACATCTCTTAGATAGTTTTTAAAGTAAATTTGAAATAAGTAAACATTTGTATTTAAATTGATTTTAAAAAATCGCTAAAAATGAAGGAAATATTATCATTGTTCCCAAAATTGGGAACAGCATATAAGCGAAATTCCCAAATTTTAGCTATATTTATTTTAGCGATATAAAATGTGTAGCCCAATCCTTAATCTTAAAAATTAAATTTGAATCAAAGCTGTATCTATAATAGTATTTGAGCTAAATGAGTTTATGTGAAAGTTGATTTTCTAGCCCATTCCAAGCAACGGTAAGTTTCAACTGGTCGTAAGATATTATTCAAGAATTATATTATAAATTATAATTTAAATTAACATTTCATTTTATCATTAGACTCATCTATTTAATGATAATATTTTATAAATTATCATCTGGATTTAAACCTGCTTACAAAACCACTCAACTATTTATATATTTATAAATTTTGTCAAAACAAGGCTAAAAAATATTTATTTCAAATTTTTCTTTAATTTAATATGCCATTGCGTCCTAGTGTTAAACTATTTAGCTATAGCTTATACTTTCTGATCGTTGCTCTAGACTTGGCGATAACAGTATGAAAATGTTATAACTATTGAGATGCAATAAAAAATAAATAAATTATATATATTCGAAATTTTAGTCATATTTTTTGTCAGTGGAAATTGAGATACGTAAAAAATATTTTAAAAATAATTCAAAAGTAGCGTAAAAAGTAGCTTTAGCTATTCTTTTTTAAAGTAATAGCGCGATACTTTTTTAAAAATAGTGATAGCGCGCTACTTATAAAAGTAGCTTTTAACAACACTGGGGAAACTATATTCTATATTGAAATATTGCATACATTTTCTGTGGCGGAGTAGATGAA